GCCATCTCCTCCCTGCTCTTATCCCTCAATGCTCCTATTAATAAAGCTGAGGACACTGCGCAGCTCTCTCTACCTGTCCTGCCAACTTCAGTGATTGGTGCACATATACACCCAGGTCCCTCTGCTCCTGCACCTCATTTTGAAATGTACTCTCTATTTGATATGGTATTTCAGTGTTCTTCTGAGCAAAGTGCATCACCTCACACTTCTCTGCATTGAGCCTTATCTGTCAACTATCCATCCACTGCATCATCTTGTCAATGTCTTTTTGGAGTTCTACACTGTCCTCCTCTCAGTTTACAATCCTTCCAAGTTTAGTGTCTTTGAAATTTGAAAGCTTTGAAAACTTTGAAATTGTAGCCTGTGATGTAAGATGATGCATCATACTGAACTTTGAAGCATTAACTCTGTTTTCTCTGCCCACAGATGCTGCCAGACTGGCTGACTCTCTCCATCAATTTCTCATTTTGTTTCAGACCTTCATCATGCACAGCTCTTTGTTTTATTCACTCATGGGATGTGGGCATCTCTGGCTGGGCCAGGATTTATTGCCAATCCCTCATTGGTTAAAGGTCAACCACATTGCTGTGGGTTTGGAGTCACATGTAGACCAGACCAGGTACGGATGGCAGATTTCCTTCCCTAAAGGGCATTAGCGAACATGATGGGTTATTCCCGACAATTGACAATGGTTTCACGGTCGTCATTAGACTCCTAATTCCAGGTCCTTTACTGAATTTAAATTCCAACATCTGCCATGGCAGGATTTGAAAGCACCCAACCCCAGAACATTAGCCACACTCCTGAATTAATAGCCTAGTGATAATACCACTAGGCCACAGTCTCCCTGTAACACTTGCATTGTCAAACATATTGTTTTAGAATGTTCAGTTCCATTGACTTCAATATGGGATAGAACATGAGGTAGAACAAGGGTGAAATCTACTTAAAGCTCTTATACCCCTCCTGTGTCCAATTTCACCCACACAGCTACATAGTTATCGCTGTTAACCTCCTTATATGGTTGGGAGTATGGAGGATCAGTTAGCTCAATTGCCTAGACACGTAGAGAGTGGCACTGAATCAAAAATATAATCAGGATCTCTCCCCATACTGGACATGGTAGTTCATGATATCCACAGTTACTGCCCCTCTCTAATGGACAAAGATCCTCTGGTTGGCTGCCCAACACATGCCAGTGATTAATCACTGATGTTGTATTTTTCTTCTAGGAAATAATTTTTTGAAGGATTAAGTTTTGTTCTACATGGTTTCCATTATTTCTAATCATGTTGAGTTTGCTCCTGAACTGCTGTATGTGATCAATAATGTGCTGATCTTGAACTTGTTGTGGTTTAATAGACTGTATACTGTAGCAAATATATCTGTAGGAATTTTTGAATTGAATTTCAGCTTCTCTCCAACGATGAATCAAAATGTGGCTGAGCATTAGCTGTAAACCCACCGCGCGTAGGTGTTAGAAAAACAAATTCAGATGGAGATAAGGAGGAATTTCTTCACCCAGAGAGTGTTGGGGCTGTGGAATTCTCTGCCACAGAAAGCAGTTGAGACCAAAACATTGATGGTTTCAAGAAGGAGTTGGATATAGAAAGCAGGAATAGGGGACTGAAATGGATGATCACGTTGAATGGCAGAGCAGGCTCAAATGGCTGAATGGCCTTTTCCATCTCCTATGGTCCTTTGTGGGATATGGCTCATTACCTCATTGTAGGCATTTCACCATCCCACTTAGAATAAGGCCATTCAGCCCATTGAGTCCATTCAGCCCATCAGGTCCACACAAACCCTCTGAAGAGCATCCCACCCAGACCCACACTCCCCCACCGTATCCCTGTATCCCCACATGTCCCATGGCCAATCCAACTAACCTGCACATCCCTGGATACTATGGGGCAATTTCCCATGGCCAATCCACCTACCCTCAACATCTTTGGACTGTGGGAGGAAACTGGAGCATGTGGAGGAAACCCGTACAGACACGGGGAGAATATGCAAACTCCACACAGACAGTCACCCAACAGATCCCTGGGGCTGTGAGGCAGCAGTGCTAACCACTGAGCCACCGTGCTGCCCCTTCACTGGTCTTCACTAAAAAGACATGGTCCTGAAGTCATCCTTTGGTGTGAAAGCATTTGCTATGGACCAGAGCCCTTCCCTTTGTTTCTCTGTTAACGTATCGTGCTGGGCTTTATTTGGATCACAACCAAATGTGGCCAGGTCCATTAGACAAAAAATAACACCAATGTATCAAAGGCACGAAGTATATGGGAGGGGACTGGCCACTGACAGGATCTTGGTGACTTTGAGCTATAGCTAACAACTGGGATGCAAATGTAGTCTGCCTGCCCTTTGCGGTTTCCTTGTTAAATGTCCCTAAGCTGTTAAACGTGATTACTTTGGGAGATAAGTGTTAAGGGAAAGTATACAGTTAATGGCATGACCCTGAACAGCATTGATGTCCAGAAGGATCTTGGGATATAAGTCTATAGCTTCCCGAAAGTGCCCACACAAGTAGATAGGGTGGTAAAGAAGGTGTATGGCATACTTGCCTTTATTGGTCGGGACATTGAGTATAAGAGTCAGGATGTCATGTTGCAGCTTCATAAGCCTTTGGTTATTGCATTTAATTCTGGTCGCCACATTACGGGAAGGATGTGGAGGCTTTGGTGAGGGTGCAGAAGAGGTTTACCAGGATACTGCCTGGATTAGAGGGTATGAGCTATAAGGAGAAGCTAGAAAAATTCATGTTGTTTTCTCTGGAGTGGTGGAGGCTGAGGGGAGACTTGATAAATGTCTATACAATTAAGATATGCATGGATAGGGTTGACGGTCAGAATCTTTTTCCCAGAGTTGAAATGTCTAATACTAAGGGTCATGCATTCAAGCTGAGAGGAGAAAGTTCGAAGGAGATGTGAGGGGCAAGGCTTTTACACAGAGAGTGGTAGGAGTCTGAAATGCACTGCCAGGGCTGGTGGTAGAAGCAGATACAATAGGGGTATTTAAGGGGCTTTTAGATAAGCACATGAATTTGCAAGGAATGAAGGGATATGGACCAAGGGCAGACAGAAGGAATTAATTTGGCGTCATGTTCAGCACAACATCATGGGCCAAAGGGCCTGTTCCTGTCTGTACTATCCTGTGTTCTATATTCATTTTCACAGTGCTGAGGGGAACATGCTGCTTCAGGGCACACAGTTTGTATAGAATGGAACACAAAAGGGTGACGTTTGTGGAGCTCTGCACAAAAATCAAAGCAAAAGCAAATTAAAAATCACAGCGTTGTAAAAGTACAGAGGTAGGCCATAATGTCTGCACTGAATGAGCATCATGGCTTGGTACCATTCTCCTGTCTTTTTTCCCTGTAACCCTGCACATCGTTTCTATTTAAATAGCCATCCAATGCCCCTCTTGAGCCTGCCTCCATCGCACTTTCAGACCCTAATTAATGACCACACAAGGAAATTTTCCCTCATTTCACATTTTTTCTTCTCTGTAAAGTGCTCTATGCCATAGAATCCCTCCAATGTGGAAGCAGGCCATTCAGCTCAGGAGTCCACACTGACCCTCTGAAGAGTATCCTACCCAGCCCTGCCTCTGTAACCCCCACATTTTCCAAGGCTAACCCACTTAGGCTGCATATCCCTGGACACTGTGGCAGTTCAGCGTGGCCAATCCACCATAACCTGCACATCTTTGGACTATGGGAGGAAACCCATGCAGACACGGGGAGAACGTACAAACTCCACACAAACATTTGCCCGAGGGTGGAATCGAACCTGGGTCCCTGTAAGGCAGAAATGCTACCCTGAGCTACCCTGTCCGGGGCCCTCTCATTCTCAATCCTTTTTCATCCTGTCTGCTCTGTCCAGGTTCGAAAACCCCGATCAAATCTCTCAGTCTTCTTCTCTCCAAGGAGAGCTGCCCCAGCTTCTTCAAGCTATCCTCACAATTGAAGATTCTCACCCTGGGAGCAATTCTTACAAACTAACATTGGAGCTAAGTCATGAAAGTTAGACGTAAGGAGCGCCAGATGAAGAGGAGGATGTGGTCCTTATGGAAAAGTGCTAGAGACATTTGGAACCCCCGCCATTGGAGGATGGTGGGAGCAGGTGTGCTACAAAACACAATTGTAGCTTTCATGACTGGAATAGATTTGTACAGGATAGGGACATTTGGTGCAAAGGCTGGAGCAGGTCAGCCATGATCTAAACAAAGGATGGAGATGATTCAAAGGACAAAATGGAGTTTTCCTGTTCTTAACTTTATGTTGTTCTTAAAGGAGCGCAGCTGGCAAACCACTCCACCAGAGGCAGCACATAGAGTCATACAGCATGGAAACAGACACTTCGGTCCAACCAGTCCATGCTGACCATAATCCCAAACTAAACTGGTTCCACCTGCCTGCGCTTGGCCCATATCCCTCCAAACATTTCTTATTCATGTACTTATCCAAAAGTCATTTCAATGTTGTAACTATACCCACATTCATCACCTCCTCTGGCAGTTTACCCACACACAAACCACTCTCTGTGTAAAAAAGTTGCCCCTCATGTCCTTTTTAAATATTTCTCCTCCCACCTTAAAAATATGCCCCCCTTAGTCTTGAAATCCCCCACCTTAGGGAAAAGACACCTGCCAGTCACCTTATCTATGCCCCTCATGATGTTATAAAGCTCTATAAAGTCACCCCTCAACTTCCTACGCTCCAGTGAAAAATGTCCCAGCCTATCCGGTCTCTCCTCATAACTCAAACCCTCTATTCCCAGCAACATCCTGCTGAATCTTTTCCGAACCCTCTCCAGTTTAACTGAGTGACCAGAACTGGACACAGTACTCCAGAAGAGGCTTTACCAACGTCCTGTCCAGCCTCAACACGAGGTGTGAGGAGCCTGTGAGGATGATTGCAGCACTTTTGGAGGGTGTCAATGTTGGTTAAAAAGGTGCTGCTCAGGAAGTGTACTCATTTATTCATAAACCAGTTATTCAAATAACATGCAAAAGCAGTTTCTACCGCTTATTTCTGTTGACTCCATCAGATCAGAGATTAGGCGCAGCCCAGCATCTTCGAAGACCTTGACAGAGTTTTGTCCTCCACCGTAGGATGAGCCAAAGTCATAATAGTCTTTCCGGTAAAAGGCCTACTCAGTTAGAGAAAATACACAAGTTAACTTCTTGGCAAAACAGTCAGATTTCCTGAATCTTTACAGTATATTTCAGGAGTATGAGGTTTGGGATTGAACTTGTTAAAATGTGGCATAATTGAACACAGCCTAACTATTCAAAGAATGGTTATTTGATAAGGTCCGAGTTGGAAATGGGAAACATCAGATGAGCTCTCTCTGAGTTCCTTGATTGAGACAAGGTGTGTCTACAAAGGGGGTTTCAGTGATTCGTATCTCTATCCGGATTATCCCAGGGATGGTCAGCTGGGTGATGGTCTTTTTTGCCTGTTAGCTGTGTGACATCTCAGGGGAAAAAAGTAAATGATTCAGGAGTCTAAGGAAGCACGGTGGCTCGGTGGTTAGCACTGTTGCCTCACAGCGCCAGTGACCCAGGTTCAATTCCACCCCCAGCCGACTGTCTGTGTGGAGTTTGCACGTTCTCCCACTGTCTGCGTGGGTTTCCTCTGGGTGCTCTGGTTTCCTCCCACAGTCAAAAGATATGCAGGTTAGGTGGATTAGCCATGGGGAATGCAGGGTTACAGGGATGGGATGGGGTGGGATGCTCTTTGGAGCGTTGCTGTGGACTTGATGGGCTAAACGACCTGCTTCCCCAGAAAGGGGCTGTGGAAACCCAAGGATGCTGTCTGAGTTTGGACCCACTGAGCGACAAAGAGACCCATGCTAGTGTTGGGCTCCACAATAATGAGGGGCTGAAGGGTCCATCTTGCTGGATGTTGGTGTACTTTGGGACATTCCGCTCTGTGCGGGTTCCTTTGCTGCTGCAAAACTAGGGAAGTAGATACACTTTTAAAGTATGGGGGGGTGATGGGGGAAGCGGTGAGGGATCAAGCTTTAGTAATTAACCAAGAATTGGGGCAGAAGAACCCAATACTAATGTGGAAAATGAAAAGCAGACAATGGCAGGAGGCAGAAAACAACCTTAAATGTCAAGATGACAAACATAACATTAAAAAAGAGAGAGAGACGTGCATTATTCATAACAAATTAATTGAATTGATGGCACACAATGAAGTAAATAAATATGATCCATCACGGCTGGAGGATGACGAGGATTAGGTCATAAATGCTGAGAAGTATAAGACATTCAAGAACACTGGGGGGGCCGAGGGGGCTGAGTAAAGGCAGAGGGCTAATATTCCTAAACAAAGAGTCAGTGGTGACTTTAGTTCAGGAGATCAGGATGTTGAATTGGTCTGGGTTGAGATGAAGAATAACAGGGGGAAGAAGTCACTTGTGGAAGTGATCTCTTGAAGCAGTAACCCCTGTGTATGGAAGAAGAAATATTGTGATAAAGGGATGGTCATAACTATGTTGACTTTAATCAACATATCAATGGTAAATTCAGATTGGACATTGTGACCGTGACGAGGAGTTCAGGGGAGTTTCTTAGAGCAGCATGTTCTGGAATTAACCAGAGAATAGACTATACCAGACTCGGTAATAGGCAATGCAACACCATGATACTGTGTGAAAGCACTTTCTAGGTAGCAGCAGTCATAGTATGAGTGAATTTTACATCCAGGCTGAAAGGGAGGAGAGTGGGTCAAACATGAGTATTTTAAACTCCAGTAAAAGGCAACTATTGAGGCAGGAAAGCTGAGTGCTAGCTGGGGTGAACTGGGACATTGAACTAGGAGATAGATCAATCGAGAAGCAGTGGCAAACATTCACATTGTGCCTGACAAAGAAACCAGGCCACAAGGACTTCACCTGCTGTGATGGCTGTTCAAGACCAGGCATGCCAATGTCTTTTGTGCAGTAAGTGGTCAGGTTACTAGAGTTATGGAAGCAAGTATATGCCAAGGGACATTTATTTTAACATGGAAGAAGCTGGGATGTTTCACCGTCTTTTCCAAGGTTGCTGTTTGGTTTTTAAGGTTGAAACATGCAATGGTAGAAAGAAGAGCAAGGAACATGAATGGTACTAAAAAGCCGCCACCAATTCTGATGGGAAATTCCAAGTCAAGCTGCTATGCGGACCTCAAGAAACGTCCGCAGGATAAGGCTAACACAAAAGACTGTACGTGACATCCAATGTTTTTGATTCTTGGATCAGGCAAGTTGACTAAATGTATCAAAAGGAGGAGGAAGATTATAATTACAGACAAGTACCTTCTGCACCCCTACAGAACTATCAACCTGAATATTTTTTTCCTCCCCATGTGACACCAATGGATCAGAAATGATTAGGAACCTGAAAACTACCACTGACAGCAACTCAGCTCTCAGGCCATTGAGGCCATCGATGAGAAGCTGGAGTACAACCTGACTGTTCTAGACATGCCTTGTGGAATTCTTTGATTGCTCCTCAGTTGACCATCCCTAAAGACTGCCAAAAAGACCAACCCATGGGTGAACATCATCCACAAGCTCTGGTCTTTTTGACAGCTGAGTGTACTGTGCACCCAGATATGCTTCAAGTGTTCCCTGTCAAACTCATGGCAACTCAACTTCACTCAGCCATGGATTGGAATCTGAGATCAACTCCTGTTCCATGGTTACGAGTCCATGCAAATGTCACCCTCTGCCCCTCTTCGTTGGCTTCAGCAACACGTCAATAAGTAACTCGGACTGTCCTCGTTTCGGGAGCACTGCAGCAAATTTGTCTGCAATGAGCCCCCACATACAGCAATGCAACAATGACCAATCAATTTGTTTCCATAGCATCAGTTGAAGAATGGGTATGGGCCAGGACATTTCCGAAGAGATAGCCTATTACTTCATGCTTCATAAAATGCACTGCTATCTCTAGCCTCCTTCATGATCGATTCTGACACATTTCCCATGACACATGCCAAGCTAATTGGCCCATAGTTCCCTGTTTCCTGTCTCCCTACATTCCAGTCTGATGGGACCTAGCTGGGGTCTACCCAAGTTTAAAAATTAACGTCAGTGCAACCATTCCTTTATTAGCCACCTCTTATAAGACTCTGAAATCCATCATTTTGCCCAGTACCATTTCCCTCATGATTATGACTTCATCAACATCCCCTCTCCTTTCCGCCTCCAGATTGATTGGAATGTTTTTGCATCGTCTATAGTGAAGACTGAAGCAAAATATTTATTCCTCAAATCTGCCATCTGCTCATTGTCTGCTATGAACTCCTCACTGTCACCCTCTCGAGTATGGTGTTTGATATGGTGTCCAAACCACACCTATGTGAAGCATGCAGAATGCAGTCATGACATTTATGCATCGAGGAGTTCCAACTATCTATAAGCAGCTCAGCAGCCAGCAGTAAAGGCACTTTACCAATTACTCACCTGATAATACATACTCGTGTCTCTTTTGGGACCATAGAGCTGTGTGTCCACTGCACGAACAAACACATCAGACAACTGGTTAGAAAACACTGAAAGCAGCAATCCTTGTTGATCATTGTCTGTGTACAGGGCAGGTTGTACCTGAAACTGTGAACGACAATCAACATTTCAGCTTCAACAGACCCCTATAGGAAAGCTGTGGCTAAACTAGAAAGGGTTCAGAAAAGATTTACAAGGATGTTCCCTGAATTGGAGGGTTTGAGCCACAGGGAGAGGCTGAATAGGCTGGGACTATTTTCCCTGGAGCGTCATACACTGAGGGATGACCTTATAGAGGTTTATAAAATCATGAGGGGCGTGGATAGGGTAAATAGACGAGGTCTTTTCCCCGTAGTGGGGGGAGTTAAAAACTAGAGGGCATAGGTTTAAGGTGAGAGGAGAAGGATTTAAAAAGGGACCTAAGGGGCAGTTTTTTTACACAGAGGGTGGTGCGTGAACGGAATGAGCTGCCAGAGGAGGTGGTGGACCCTGGTATAATTGCAACATGTAAAAGGCATCTGGAGGGGTATACAAATAGGAAGGGTTTAGAGGGATATGGGCCAAATGCTGGCAAATGGGACTAGATTTATATAGGATATCTGGTTGGCCTGGACAAGCTGGGCCAAAGGGTCTGTTTCTGTGCTGTACACTTCTATGACTCTATGACATTCACAGGGTGTGGACTTCGCTGCCTGGGTCAGCATTTACTGCCTATCCCTAATTACCCAGAGGGCAGTTAAGAGTCAACACACATTGCTGTGGGACTGGAAACACATGTAGGCCAGAACAGGTAAGGATGGCAGATTTCCTTCCCTGAAGGATATTAGATGGGGTTTTCATGATGGTCATCATTAAGCCCTTAATTCCAGATTTTTATTCAATTCAAATTCCACCAACTTTGAGCATTTGTCAGTTATAGACGGAGATGATGGAGTCCAACAACAAAAAACACATCACACACCTTTGAACTGCAAAGGTCCTCCACCTCCACACGCACAGAGTCTGAGATGATGCTTTTGTTACCGTGAATATTTGCAAAATAGTAGGCCACAATGCGGAAATAAGGCACCATCTCGTCTGTGATCGTCACTGGAAACGAAGTGTTCACAGTCTTCCTGACTCTGTCAAAAAGCAGCACCTTACCTTTATTGAGCACCTGGAATGGTAAATATTGATGATGTTGGAAACCAAATGCCTTCTTGAAATGGAAAATTAACAAAGATTGTCACATCGTCACTGCAGAGAGACTGTAACTTATAAGAATGGCATGTTTTTATTTGAGTTCATTGAACATTGGGTTACCTTCTCTATAAATGAGTTTTCAGCCAACACCCATCAATCAATTCAGCCATTTACAGCTAACAGAAAGGTAAACGTATTTGGATCATTTCCAAATGTTTCATCGCTAAAGGAAATTCCTTCCAGCAGGAACTTCCAGAACCACAACTCTAATAAATGTCCATTTCTGAAGAAGGGTCCCGACCTGAAACATCAACTTTCCCATCCCTCTGATGCTGCCTGGCCTGCTGTGTTCCTCCAGCTTCACACTGTGTTATATCCAATACATGTGTGTTTGTCCATCAATAACCGAGGGAGGCTTCATTTCATTGACACCTTGTAAAGACCACTACTAATCATTTTTGGACTGTGAACTAAAAATAGGCAAGGTACTGCTTTAAACCAAGGAAACCATGGAAGAAGATGTTTGTAGTTCTGAAATTGAGTTACTGGGACACATTGAGGGGTATAGTCACAATGATGCCCTATTTAAGCAGTGAGAGAGAATCAAGACAAACAGCACTGCCTCTGTTCAGGGAAAATTTGCACAGAGACAGCCTGCTGATTGGTGTTTTAATTGGAACCACTTGTTGATGATCCAAGCAAGCTCAGCCACTTGATTGGTTCGTGGACAGGTAGCTGTAGCCTTGTATGAGGACATTGCAACAGAAGCATCCATCCCCTCTCTGTCTGCCCCTTCTATGAGCAGGAGCAAAAGGAAATCCCAAGTATCTTGTAACTTTCCATCACCTTTCGCTGTAAGTTGTTCTCCCTGCAAATGCCTTTTTGAAAGAGGAATAAAGGAGATAAACCACCTTCGGCGACACCTAATAGGGAAATCCTCCATCAGTGAATGAAAGACTGAGAATTGGTACATCCACCAGCTTGGCTCATGAGTAAAAATTTGGAAGGAGTTTGAAAGAAAGCTGAAAGAAAATGACTCATCATATGTGATCTGGATAGATTGGGGGAGTGGGTTTGGGTAGGATGCCCTTTAGAGGGTTAGTGAGGTTCGATGGGCTGAATGGCCTGCTTCTACACTGTAACAATTCTATGCCCCTCCTTTGAACACATGGCTTTGTTTTTCAATTGTATAAAAGACTTAATTCACACATTCACACAATCCAAACATGATGAGATATCCAGCTGCTCAGCTCATGTATGTCCTTCAGAGTATTATGATCCAGGAATCAGAATTTTAAAGCTCATGCTTACACCAGCCTTAACGACGCTCTGGGTCATGGAAGCATTAATCTCCTTCAACTTTTCATTACGACAACATCAGAGCTCATTGGGTCTCATGTTTTCAGGTTAGTAAGCGGCAGTATTGTTTAAAATGAGCAGAATGCATTCTGTCATATAGTCTCCTTCTTTGTAGCTTTGGGAATCAACATCAAAGCAGTAAGTAAGTCATAGAACTCACAATTACAAGGCCACTTGATGTCAAAGTACCATGGTAGATATTGCGCACAACCTGTTTATACCTTAAACAAACATTATAGCAACCTGCTTATTTTGGAAGTATCTGTGTCCATTATAGGTGCCCATTTGGAAGCTGTTGAATCGATTGTAACACTCAGCTCTGCCTCTTTCCAGTCAACACACAGCACTGCGGCACTGGGGGTGTTGGGAAAAAGGGGAGCTAGAAAACTGTGTGAGTTTCTCATCCTTAAATTTGGTTCCTGGATGGCACAGTGGTTAGCACTGGTTAGCTAGGTTCAACTCCACCGTTGGGCAACTGTCTGTGTGGAGTTTGCACACCCGCTGCTGTCTGTGTGGGTTTTCTCTGGGTGCTCTAATTTCCTCCCACAGCCCAAAGATGTGCAGCTTAGGTGAATTGGCCGTGCTAAATTGCCCATAGTGTCCTGGGATGTGCAGGCTTAGGTAGATTAGCCATGGGAGATACAGGGATAGGGTAGGGGATTGCATCTGGGTGGAAGCTCTTTGGAGGGACTCAATGGGCCGAATGGGACTCTAGGATTCTAAATAGCTCAGTTGGCTAAATAGCTCGAGCGTGGAACAGCATAACATTGGCAATGTACCGGTTGTTTTAAGTTAATGGAAGTCTATCTCCTCACCTTGCCCTTTCACACTCGCAGAGAGATTCTTTGGAATTCTGAAGCTCTGAAGAAGAGTCATTATGATTCAAAACATTAACTCTGTTCCTCTTTCTGCAGGTATTCCCAGATCGGCTCAATTTCTCTAACACTTTTATTTCTGATCTATAGTCTTGTGCTGTTAGTCTACGTAATTTTCAAATTGTTTCTGTCTCACTCTGGAAATCATTTGTGTGTACGGGTAAGGCATGACCACACAGTGGACATTTCTCCCTGAAACAACTCTATCAATGAATCTGCTAAAACTGAAAATTTTGGTGAGGCTTCCATTGGTTGAAGACTGACTCTTGCAAAACCTGTAATGAAGACTTTTTGACTGCTCCAGGGTCCTAGTGCCACAACAGGCCCCATCGTGCCATGGGTAACCAATTGTCTTTCTCTAATTGGCAGAGATGTCCATTGTTCCTTTGGCTGTGCAGGACATCAGTATTTGTGAAAAAAAAAAAATATTTCAAAGCTTTTTGTCTTGCGCTCATCAGCACAATTGCAAGAAACATCAATGAAAAAGGGGAACAAGGATAGAAAATGTTGTTCCCCTTTATTAGTATTATTGCAAATTGTCCTGATGTGTGCAGGACTAAAAGATCCCCACTTTTTTTGATAAAGTGTGAGGTCCTGTTCCGGGATGTTAGCCTTTATTTTTGTTGACTGTTCAGGGAATGTCAGAGAAACATAGAACACAGAACATAGAACATAGAACAGTACAGCACAGTACATGCCCTTCAGCCCACAATGTTGTGCTGACCTATTATCCTACTAAGATCAATCTACCCTGCATACCCTACATTTTACTATCCTCCATGTGCCTATCCAAGAGTCGCTTAAAAGTCTCTAAAGTATCTGACCCCACTACCATTGCCGGCAGCACATTCCACAGGCCCACCACTCTGTGTGAAGAACCTACCTCTGACATCTCCCCTATACCTTCCTCCAATCACCTTAAAATTATGCCCCCTCGTAATAGTCATTTCCGGCCTGGGAAAAAGTCTCTGACTATCCACTGTATCTATGTCTCTCATCATCTTGTAAACCTCTATCAAGTCACCTCTCGTCCTTCTTCGCTCCAATGAAAAAAGCCCAAGCTCCCTCAATCTTTCCTCATAAGACCTGCCCTCCAGTCCAGGCAGCATTCTGGTAAATCTCCTCTGCACCCCCTCTAAAGCTTCCGCAGCTTTCCTATAATGAGGTGACCAGAACTGAACATAATATTCCAAGTGTGGTCTAACCAGAGTTTTATAGAGCTGCAGCATAACCTCATGGCTCTTAAACTCAATTCCCCCGCCAATGAAAGCCAACACACCATACACTTTCTTTACAACCCTATCAACTTGGGTAGCGACTTTGAGGGATCTATGGACGTGGCCCCCAAGATCCCTCTGTTCCTCCACACTGCCAAGAATCCTGTCATTAACCCTGTATTCTGCATTCAAATTCCACCTTCCAAAATGAATCACCTGGTGGGTATGCGCATAGATTTTAGTCTTGTATATCTTGCATGCCTGCTTTTAACCAAACAGTGTGTATTGTATGTCTGTTCAACCAAACTAATAAAGTTAGTGGTTAGTTGATACAGATTTGACTCTTCTCCTCTTTGTGCCAAGCCATAGCTTTGTTGAGGGCAGTAACCAGGCAACAGCTTATGACTTCAGTGAAGGAAAGGAACAGGGTCAGTGAAATGGTCATCACAACACCTTCTGGTTTCCAGAAAGTGAGTGTTGAAGCAGCATAATGTGACAATGCAGTTTAATCAAAGTCCCTATCTGAACGCACAGAGGTAAAGGCTTTCCATCACTTACCATGTAGTAAAAGTAATTCACACCGCTGATGTCTACTCGACTGAAAGGTGATAATGTCACGTCTATGATGTCTCCAGGGTACAGCAGAGCATTTGTGACACCGATATGTAGGTAGGCCTGCTTGCTGTTATGGCACTTGATTGCTATTTCTTGGCTCACGTCATTCCCAACGGCGATATCGCCAGCTGAGGCCTGTAGCGGCAAATTGTCAGGGAAACCAAAGATCGCATGGACGTTAGAACAAGCAAGCAGCAAAAATCAATGTCACTGGTTCCGTGCTGTATGACTCTATGACTCTCTGACTCTATAATGCTGAAATAAGACAGGTCTTGTTAAAGGTTTTCAACTTACATCCATCAGGACACTTTGCAAGAGTACCAATGTCACAGGTAAGCAACTTCTTGCATACAATATGAGAAGAGGATGCTGATTGGTTGGCATGTGCGTTCTGATTGGTAGAGGTAATGCACCAGTTAGGCCATGACTGACAATTGTCAAGCTATTTAAATGTAAACCAGTTTGGTCAACTCTGATTGGTCAAAGCATTGTCTTGAACAATGAAGCATAGAATGGCTGAGTCTTGTTTGAACTTACCAAAAGTTAGACCCATCAGAGTCAACCTGTTTAAACATAGATTGACAGTTGACTTCAAGTCATCATTTAACTAGTGCATTCTCCATAGCAACAAGTCTACCAATTAGTGTCCACTGGAGAACCAATCAGGATTCTCTTCTCATGCAGTATAAAATGATTGCTTTCCATCAACGTTGGTATTCTTGCAAATGGTCCTGATGACTGCAAGACGAAAAGCTTTGACAAAAATGCCTCTTTTCATAGCAACACTGAATCATGTGACACCAAATAAGCCCTAATATTAGGATCAATGATCAGAAGTTGATTAACGAGGTGGGGGGGAGTCAAAGTAGAGAGGTGTAGGGAGAGAATTCCAGACATTAGGGCCCAGGCAGCTGAAGGCACGGCCACCAATGATGGAGGGAGAACAATAGAAAGTATCGGAATTACTGGTGAGCAGAAATCACGGAAGATTATGGAGACAGATGAGATTATAGGTGGGGCAGAGGTTGTGAAGGGATTTGAGAAACCATGGAAAAGCTGTCAATTTAATTGCAGCATTGCTTATCCAGCACAGCGTACAAGAAAATGTTTTTTTTTAAGAATATATCCTCACACTGATGTATATATCTTTTGCATTTTCAGGAACATTGAAGGAGAGACTCAGTTCACCAATACTGTCAGTTAATCCTTCCTGGGTAGATTCGAGGGTTTTTCCCGCAGAGATAATTATTTTAATTTTGATCGGCACTTCAGAGACTGGGGAGCCATCCAGGTAGGTCACCGACGCCTGAGGAACAACATTGAAGAGTTGGCTTTGTTATCCATCAATATGCTAACGCATTCTTCCTCCCAATTAAAATCAAGTTTTTTTTTTCTTCAGAGTTGAATCTATTCTGTGTTAAACTGCTGATGCTGTGTTCGCACATATTTAAATTATAGCCCCTCAAGTGCATGTGGAAGACTTTATGGTACTATTTTGAATTAGATGTCCAAAGATGTGCAGGTTAGGGTGGACTGGCCAAGCTAAGTTGCAGGCTGGGTGGGTTAGCCATGGGAAATGCATGGTTACAGGATTAGGGTGGGTCTGGGTGGGATGCTCTTCAGAGGTTTGATGCAGATTCGTTGGGCCAAATGGCTTGCTTCCACACTGTAGGGATTTGATGATTCTATGATTCTAAGAACAGGTTAACTCTTCCCAGTGCTGTGGTCAATGTCTCTCAATATCTGTTAGGCACCAATATTGAAACAGAATATCTGCTCATTGCCAACTGTGGGATCTTTCTGTGCATGTACAGAGGACTCTGTTTCCTACCTTCCAGCAGTGCTTAATACATTCTGGAATGTCAAGTAAGTCTCAGCGATGGCGGCCATGAAGCTAACATCGATTGTTGTAAAAACCCACCTGGTTCACTTTGGGGGAGGGAAATCTACCGGCCTGTCCTAGGTCTGGCCTACATGTGACTCCAGATCCACGGCAGTGAGACTGGCACTAAACGTCCCTCTGAAATGGCTTGCTGAGCAAGTCACTCAGTCCAAGGATGATTAGCAAATGCTGGCCTTTCCAGTAATGCCCAGATCCCATGAACAATTAAAGAAAGAATGTGCATCTCTGACCATGAAGTAATTTGAGACATCCCTGGGTCATGAAAAGTAAGAAGTGAACTAACTCCTTGTTTTTATTCTTGTAGGCCACTCACATATTGCTGTGTATATACACCAGCTGTCATCTTCGAATCCCTACAGTATGGAAGCAAGCCATTTGGCCCATCAAGTACATACTGACCCTTCAGCCACCCTATCCCTGTATTTCCCATAGCTAACAAACCTACCCCATACCTTACTGGGCGCCATGGCCAATCCACCTAATCTGCACTGCTTTGGTCTGTGGGAGGAAACACACACACAGACACAGGGAGAATATGCAAACTCCACACAGACACACATAGTCACCCAAGGGTACGATTAAACCCAGGCCCCTATTGCTGTGAAGCGACAGTGCTAACCACTGAGCTACCATGCCTCCCTTGTAGCTTATCTTTCCAATGTGCTGTCTTGTGTTTGGCTTAACCAAGTATCACAGTTAGCGATGAGGCGGGATTTTTGGATTTCCCTAGCTGGATAAAAAGTTTGGGTTGGAGGAGCTGCCAGCAAGCCTGTAAAGAAGTTGTCAGTCTGACTTTTCTTTTTGCTAAGAAATTGCTTTAACAATCTGATCTGCAGGAAAAGGCTGTCTTTGCCATGAATGGACTGACCTTTGATTGTGTCTGAATCAATAACCATTATAGGGAAACTGGGGGTGGGGGGGATATAGCCAGGACCGGCAGTCTTCCAGCACATGTGCTATTTTACACATTTCAAAACACCCTGCATGTTGCTGATAATCCAGCTACTAATCAGATGGGAGGGGAATGGTAAAGAGAAATCTTTCTGACTGGGACAGACCCCAGGTTGCTTGGCCCCTGCTCAACCAAAAAGCACGCCACTGCCATACATCACAGAGCCATTGGAGGTTATGGATGGATATTGGCTTGGAGCAAGGGATCAGGAGCTGGTGAGGATATCTATTGTGGCTTTGAAACCTTTCTGTGCCCTTTAATTATGGAGAGTTTCACGACAAATGGGTTTTAAAACGAGGCCACTCGCAGTAAGGTAATGGTGCTGTCAAAAAGTAGCATTTGACACAGCACTAAGGAGTTTAAGAGCACTTTCTGGTAGCTACTTTTTTCTGCTCATGTGTATGCACCAGAAATAACTGGTTGGGGACTTGCCTTTCCAAATTCCACCCTGTGTCTTATGTTAAATTTAGGTAGCCATGATGTGGAGTTACCGGTGTTGGACTGGGCTGGACAAGGTCAGAAATCACATGACACCAGGTTATAGTCCAACAGGTTTATTTGAAATCACAAGCTTTCAGTGCACTGCTCCTTTGTTAGGTTGCCTCACTAACAGGTTGTTGGACTATAACCTGGTGTTGTGTGACTTTTGACCTTAAATTTAGGAGATTGATATTAAAACACTTAGTTTCTCCTGCCCTCCAAACTGGGTGAAATCGAAGGACAAAATAAAAAAGTGAAATCTTGCTTCTAAGTGTGGCATTGCTGACTGGGCTGATGGGCTTAGTGATTACCATGGTTACCTCATAGTACCGGAGACCTGGGTTCAATCCCACCCTCGGGTGACTGTCAGTATGGAGTTTGCACATTGTCCCCATGTCTGTGTGGGTTTCCTCGCACAGTCAGGTGGATTGGCCATGCTAAATTGTCTACAGTGTCCAGGGATGTGCAGGCTAGGTGGGTTAGCCATGGGAAATTCAGGGTTAGGGGTGTGGGTCTGACCCTCAGAGGGTATGGGTGGGCTGAATGGCCTGTTTCCGCACTGTAGGGATTCTATGGCTTATTTGTCATAAACAGATCTGGCACTCCTTCGATCAATACAACTCTACCATTTCCTCACTCTCTCCTTCATGCAGCGATGTGCCATAAGCAGAGAGACAAGCAGGAAAGGTGTGACAATTACCTAGAATGTAAATGCGCTGTTTGTTGTACCGTGCATCTGGCATTAAGTCTGGCAGAAAACGTGGCACTGAATTTCAAGGTAGAGATGTCACTACCTGTGACAAATTAAGTAGCCTTTTCCCCCCTCCCCACCCCCTCAGTGGTTTGCTTGTGAGCCCATACATACCAGAATCTGAAAAGGAGCTCCAGGTATGAAGTAGCGTTTTGTCTTTGTTAGATTAATCGTATAGTTTAGAAAATTTGGTACAATGCTCCTCTTTTCTTCCATGCCATCTACATAGCAGGGAACAAAAAGGTTTACATTTGTTGATTAATTTACACAGAGAAAGAACTACCATTGGCATTTTCCCAGAATTCCCTCGCACAGTGTGCAGTCACACAGTACTGGGCCTGTATGTGTGAACTGTCTTGAAAAGACAAAACAAAGATGGAAACCTTACTTAAACATTAATGCCGAGCTGGAACATGGAATACATTAAAAAAAAACCTAATGCGCCCGTTAGCTAATGCAAAACTTAATCAAATGTTGGGATTTATTTCGAGAGGAATAGAATTGGATTGTAGAGGAGGTCAGGCTAAACCTGTATCTAACCTGGGCAGGTCCGGTCTCCGTATTATAGACAGGTCTTCAGACGGTGTAGAGGAGATTTGCAAAGACAAAATCACAAACGTATGGGTAGATGCATCAGAAAAGGATCGACAAGACTGTTTCTCCCGAGAAAAGGACAGCTGAGGTACATAAACATTATCATCTGTACAGAATGTTTTAGCTTGTGAGAAAGAACGTTGTTAGAATCATAGACTCCCTACAGTGTAGAAGCAGGCCGTTTGGCCCATTGAGTCCATGCCTACCCTCTGAAGAGCATCCCACCCATACCCACACCCTGTACCCTTTCCCTGCAACCCTGCATTTCCAATGGCTAATCCTCCTAGCCTGCACATCCCTGTGGGATTCCTCCGGGTGCTGCAGTTTCTTCCCATAGTCCAAAGATGTTAGGGTAATTTGGCCGTACTAAATTGCCCACAGTGTCCAGGGATGTGTGGGTTATGTGGATCAACCATGGGAAATACAGGGAAAGGGTGGGTCTGGATGGGATGCTTTTCGGATGGTTGGTGTTGACTCGATGGGCTGAACGGCATTCGTCCACACTGTGGGGATCCTATGAATCCTGCATCTGACCTGTTGATCCCTGTAAGAGTTTTGAACGTTAGATTACAATCACTTTTCATTCTTCTAAACTCCTGAGAACATTTAATCTTCCCTCACAAAGTGTTAAAGCATTAACTCATTTAATTCAGAAGCTGCGGAGTGAATGACTTTAATATGACACTTTCATTCAGGTATATCAAAGTTAAAAGACATTATTCAAGTCATTGTCAAGAAGTGAATGAGCACAAACAAAGAGGGAACAGGGGGGAAATCGTGACCAGGAGCAACCAGCTTAACCCTTGTATGAATTACAGACAGAAGAGCCTCGTGAATTCAACACAAAGAGCTCCAGAAAGATGTGATGGGGTCGGACTTGTCTTTGTGACTCAGTATGGCTCTTTACAAAACAAATACAGCTGACTGACTGAGCTACAGAGGGAAGGACAAAATTCTTCAGGTTAGAATGGGTACACAGACAACAGAGCGGTCAGGTTCTTTGACTGAACGTAGAGTTAAGGTCCGGAAAGGCTTCCTCTTCAAAGAAGGTTGGAAACAAAGATATATCAATCTGCTAAGAATTTACCCTGGGACTGTAAGTGATTTATTCTTGAAATATCAGTTTCATTATTTCTCAAGGTAGATTTGCAGATTATTTTTAAAAATACAAAGTAGAATTGTAAAGTTCCAACTATCTTTAGGTGCCTACATGGCCAACATTCCCTGTCAAGTGGGACATGGAGTAGTTACTTCCATGTAAGTCAATTATTGTATATGAGAGAATGACTATCTTTAGCCTTCATTTGATCATATTATAATTGAGTATCGCTGAAAAGAAGATCCATTTCGTTTGTCATCAGGACAATTTACAAGAATACCAACAAAGCAGAAAACTTTGGTACTGTGTGCAAAAGATGTGCTGATTGCTTGGCAAGGGGACTCTGATTGGTACAAGGGTTGCCATGGAGAATGGAGCACTTAAAAACAGTGCAAGACAAAAGACTTTGACAAAACGTGTCTTTTCCCAGCAGTATCCAACATCTGTACAACCAAACAGCCACTAATATTGTAATTATTGCAATCCAGGATTCATTGCTATAGTAAACTTTTTTCAGCACTTATTAAAAGTCATCAAAGACACAAAAAGCGAACAAGAATATCTTAGAATTCTAAAGTTAGGTTTCCGTGTGCTGGTGTTGGCTAACTTTGAAGAGTTGGTTTTACTACAATAAACCTGTTGATATAATCTAATCTGAGTTGATTTTGCTGGTCAGAAAATTTGCTAAGCAGTTAACTGCAGCTAAACATACTGAGTTCCCTTCCTCGCAATGTACAGGTTAAACATGGTTCCATTAGCAACTCAGAAAGGCAATTAAACCAGCTCTCTACATTTCTGATGTTTCCTGATTATTATTCACATATAAAGTGGCTATATGTCACCATTTAACTAACCAGGCTCTTGATTGTGTCAGGGATGTGCTCCAACATGTGAATTCACCACAAAGCCAAAATAACCTTGCTTAAAGATCTTGTAAATAATGGGAGGAGGCTCCTTTGAAAATAAACAAAGCAACGGACAGGGATATAACTTCTTTGTTGTCAGAGTTTGGATAAACAGTAAAATCAGTCCTTATCAAAATGTTTAAGATATCTTCCAGTCCACAGTATAACTGTTCATTAGAGTGATAGCTGGCAAACTGCTTGCATACAGCAGATCATCTTGAGCTGGAGATAAATTTTGTCATAGTTCCACATTTAAGATGAATCGAGATTATAATTTCAACAGAAAATAACCTCACTGCAAAATGTGGTTTCATGTTGTATACACCCAATCCTGGTTTGCAATGAGTAGAGATTGCGAATAAGAACTCACCGTGCTCCTTTATCTGAAAGGGTTTGTAACCTTGGTAGGCGGAATATAATGTAGAAGATCCCCGTATCTCAAAGTCTCCAACCCTTAAATTAAACAGATGTGATTTAACTGTCTGTAATTCAAAAATAAATTATTCAAATACTTTTAGCAATGCAATATTCCTACATACAAGTTTATAATTCTTTGATCAAGAAGGTAGTGGTGATGTCACTGGATTAGTGATCTGGAGAGCCAGACTAATGTTTTGGGAACATGGGTCCAAACCCCACCATGGCAGATGGTGAAACTTAAACTCAACGAAATTTTGATATAAAAGCTAGATTAATAGTGATTAGTAGTCCCACAGTCAGCTCCTGACCTTATTACAGCCTTGGTTTGAACATTGATAAAAGAGCTGAATGAATTCCAGAGGTGAGGAGAGAGTGTCAGCCCTTGACATCAAGGCTACATTCGACCAAGTGTGGCATCAAGGAGCCCTAACAAAACTGGAATCAATGGACATCGGAGCAAACTCTCCACTGTTGGAGTCATACCTGATACATAGCTCGTGGCTGTTGGAGGTCAGTCATCTCAGCCCCAGGACATCTCTGCAGGAGTTCCTCAGCCCAAACATCTTCAGCTGCTTCATCAATGACCTCCCCACACTGCCCTCCCATAAGGTCAGAAGTGAGGATGTTCGCTAATTAATACTCAATGTTCAGCACCATTCAATACTCCTCAGATACTGAAGCCGTCCATGTTCAAATACAACCAGACCTGGACAATAGTCAGACTTGAGCTGACAAGTGGCAAACATTCGTGCCACACAAATGCCAGGAAATCTAACCATTGCCCCTTAACATTCAATGGTGTTACCATCACTGAATCCCCCACTATCAACATCCTGAGGGCTACCATTGACCAGACACTGAATTGGACTCGCTACATAAACACAGTGGCTACAAGAGCAGGCCAGAAGCTGGGAATACTGCGGTGAGTAACTCCCCTCCTGACTCCCCGAAGCCTGTCCACAATCTACAAGGCACAAGTCAGGATTGTGATGGAATACTCCCCACTTCCCTGGATGGGTGCAGCTCCAACAACACTCAAGAAGCTTGACACCATCCAGGACAAAGCAGCCGCTTGATTGGCACTGCATCTGCAAACGTTCTCCACCACCAATGCTCAGTAGCAGCAGTGTGTACTATCTATAAAATGCACTGCAGAAATTCACCAAAGATCCTCAGACAGCATCTTCCAAACCCATAATCACTTCCATCTAGAAGGACAAGGGCAGCAGATATATGGGAACACCATCCCCCTGCTGGTTTTCCTCCAAGCCACTCACGGTCATGACTTGGAAATATATCACCGTTCCTTCACTGTCGCTGGGTCAAAATCCTGGAATTCCCTCCCTAATGGCATTGTGGGTCAACCCACAGCAGGTGGACTGCAGCAATTCAAAAGGGCAGCTCACCACCACCTTCTCAAGGGTAACTAGAGATGGGCAAGAAATGCCAGCCCAACTAGCAATGCCTACATCCCACATGAATAAGAAAATCCCCCTGCACCTTTTGCTTAAAATGATTCTTGTATCATCAGTTAATGAGAACAGCCCTTCTTTGTCTATTTTATCTGGACCAGTCATAATCTCTTACATGTCAGTGAAATCTCCCCTCAATCCCTCTTGATCTAAGGGGGACAGCCCTGTGCTCTCCAATCTAATCTTGTCACTAAATTCACTCTGAAGGGTGACCTTATAGAGGTTTATAAAATCATGAAGAGTGTGGATAGGGTGAATAGTCAAGGTTTTTTTTCCCAGGGTAGGGAAGTGAAAAATTAGAGGCCATAGGTTTATGGTAAAGGGGGAAAGATTTCAAAGGGACTTGAGGGGCAACGTTTCCATGCAGAGGGTGGTGCGTGTATGGAACTAGCTGCCATTTAAAAGGCATGGTTACACGAATAGGAAGGATTTAGAGGGATATGGGCCAAATGCTGGCAAATGGGCCTAGATCAGTTTAGGATATCTGATCGTTGTGAACGAGTTATATTGAAGAGTCTATTTCCATGCTGTATACATCTATGACACTATGACTATCGTACCCATTCTGGTAAATCTATCTCCACCCACCACGCACCCAGCATCACGGACCTTCTTCCCGTTCCTAACATGATACTCCAGACTGGGTCTAACCAGAGTTTTATAAAGGTGCAGCGTAACTCCCCTGCTCCTGTACTCAACGCGTCTATTTCTGAACCCACAATCACATAAACTTTGCCAATTATTCCCTCAATGTGTCTTGCCGCATTCGAAGGTCTATATACATGCAATGTCCCTGCAAAACCTGTGAAACTGTCGTTCAGTCCAATTTGCCCCTGTCTATCCCTCTGCCTCACGTTTCCCTGCATTAAATTCTGTTTACGATTTGCCTCACGTTTTGTGAGCCCGGCTATATGTCCTGTTGTAGTCAATTAGGTATCATCCTTGTTGCCTGACACACCTCCAAGTTTGGCATCCTCGGTGCATTTTGAAAATCCAAGCCCTTTCTTTGTACCAAAAAAAGGCAGCGGTCCCAGCACTAACCCCTGGTGAACAGTACTCTCTATCCTCCTTCAGTCTGAGAAATAGCTTTTAATTCTTTTGTCCAAGTGACAAAGACAATCTATGGGCCTCCATCTAAAACAAAAACAGCTTTTTGTGTACTTTGTTGAAAATCTTTTTGATATCCAGGTTAACGTGTCTGATTAACAGCGACATAGGAAAGCTAGACTCTAAATTCTAACTTCTTAATGACATATATGCTGACTTTTGTCAAGATTCCCAAGTCACACTCCTTTGCCCCATAGCCCCTATAATGCTATCGCTTGGAAGTATTTATCAAATTCATAGAAAAAGAGAAAATAGGACCAGGAATAGGCCATTCAGCCCTTCAAGCCTGCTCCACCATTCAGTATGATTGTGGCTGATCACTCAGCTCAGTCCCCTGTTCCTGCTTTCTCCCCATACCCTTCAATCCCTTTCTTTGAGCATTGGAGTTGGGACGTTATGTTGAGGTTGTACAGGATGTTGGTGAAGCCTCTTCTTGAGTATTGTGAGCAGTTCTGATCACCCAGTTATAGGAAGGATATTATTAAGCTGGAGAGGGTTCAGAAGAGATTTACCAGGATGCTGTCAGGAAAAGAGGGCTTGAGCTATAAAGAAAGGCTAGATAGGCTGGGACTTTTTCCACTGGAGCGAAGAGGCTGAAAGATGATCTTATAGAGGTTTATGAAATCATGAGCGGCATAGATTAGGTGAACAGCTGATGTCTTTTTCCTAGGGTGGGGAAGTTAAAAACTAGGGGGCATATTTTATTAAGGTGAGAGGAGAGAGTTTTAAAAAAGACACAAGGGGCAACCTTTTTTACACAGAGATTTGTTCATGTGTGGAATGAACTTCCAGAGGAAGTGGTGGATGCGGGTACAGTTACAACGTTTAAAAGACATTTAGATAAGTACATGAATAAGAAATGTTTGGAGGGATATGGGCCAAGCACAGGCAGGTGGGACTAGTTTAGTTTGGGATTATGGTCAGCACGGACTGGTTGGACCAAAGGGTCTGTTTCCATGCTGTATAACTCCATGACTCTATAACGATATCTAACTCCTTCTTGAAAATACTCATTGTTTTGGCCTCAACTATTTCCTGTGTCAGAGAATTTCACAGGATCAGCACTGTGTGGGTGAAGTGGTTCTCCTCATCTCCGTCCTCAGGCCTACTCTGTATCCTTAGACTTGTGACCCCTAGTCATAGATTTGTAGAACCATACAGTACAGAGGAGGCCCTTTGGCCCATTATGTCTGTACCACCAAGGATCTACTAAATCAATGCTAGGGCCACTTTCCCACTCTAGGCCCATAGCCTTGAAGGTTATGATATTCCAAGTGCTCATCCAAGGACTTTTTAAAGGTTGTGAGGTTTCCTGCCTTAACTACCCTCCCAGGCAGAGCATTTCCGACCCCCACTACCCTCTAGGTGAATTTTTTATTTCTCAAATACCCCCTCGCCTTTCACCTTAAAATTTTGCCCCCTTGTCAGTGACCCCTTAACTATAGGGAGGAGCTGCTCTCTTCCATCCTGTCCATGCTCCTCATAATCACATACAGCTCTATCAAGTCCTCCTTCAACCTCCTCTGCTCCAAAAAAAAACAACCTGAGCTTATCCAGCCTCTCTCCATCGCTGGAATGCTCCATCCCAGGCAACATCCTGGTGAATCTCCTCTATACCCGCTGCAGCGCAATCAGACCCTTCCTACAGGCATGGATGGCATAGTGGCTCAGTGGTTAGCATTGCTAGCTTCGGGTCACTGTCTGTGTGGAGTTTGCACATTCTCCCAGTGACTGTGTGGGTCCCCTCCGGGTGCTCTGGTTTCCACCCACAGTCCAAACATCTGCAGGTTAGAGTGGATCAGCCATGCTAAATTGCTCATAGTGTCCAGGGACGTGTGGGCTAGGTGGGTTAGCCATGGGAAATGCAAGGTTATAGGAATAGGATGGGACTGGGTGGGATGTTCTTCAGATGGCCAGTGTGGACTCAACGGGCCAAATGACCTGTATCCATACTGTAGACATAGGCAATTCTATAGTATGGTGACCAGAATCACACACAGAACTCCATAGCACTGTAGCCTAACCAAAGTCCTGTCCAGCTTCATGCTCCTACAATCTATGCCTTAACTAATAAGGGCAAATGTCCCATTTAGAAACCAAAAGAATTGTGGATGCTGTAAATCAGGAACAAAAATAGAAGTTGCTGGAAAAGCTCAGCAGGTCTGGCAGCATCTGTGAAGGAAACGTCAGAGTTAACATTTCGGGTCCTGTGACAGATGTTGCCAGACGTGCTGAGCTTTTCCAGCAAGTTCTGCAAATGTCCCATATGCTTTCTTAACTACCCTACCCACCTGTTTCCTTACCACTGCTCATCAGGGACATGCTTCCTGTGTTTTCCCCTGTCTAGTCTCGTTAGAATTTTATAGGTTTCTACAAAATCTTCCCTCATTTTTCCAAACCCCAGTCAATACAGTCCTAAATGATACAGTCTCTCTCCATGCATCAGTCCTGTCATCCCAGGACTCATGTGTGTCACTCTCTGCAGGGAACGGTGCGTTGTAAGAGGCCAATCGTTGAGCTACGTCTGAAGATGTGGAGATAACAAGGTGTAGAGCTGGATGAACACAGCAAGCCAAGCAGAATCAGAGGAGCAGGAAGGCTGACGTTTCAGGCTGAGACTGAAGAAGGGTCTAGGCCCGAAACGCCAGCCTTCCTGCTCCTCCGATGCTGCTTGGTCTGCTGTGTTCATCCAGCTCTACACCTTGTTATCTCAGATTGTCCAGCATCTGAAGTTCCTACTATCTGTGAAGATGTGGAAGTGTGTTTGAGGTAAAAACCAGACACTCACAGTGACGACGGGAGCTGCACTTCTCCCCTGCAGACTGCAGTTGGGCCTTGCTTGCGACTCCTAACCTTCGCAACAATGGCGTTGGATTGCTGGAATGTAAGAAGACAAGTTCTTCATCAGTTATAACCAGGAATTTCACGCTGGTAACAAATATCCATTAGTGTCGAAGGAGCCATCTCAATGTGTGTTCTCCAGGTGACAAAAGGCAGCAAGCAAGACCCGAAAAATATACATCCATATAGCACTCCCCATGATCCCCTGTCATCTTAAAGTGCAGTCACTGTCATGATGTAAGATACACAGCAATTTGCACACAGCAGTCCCCCACTAAAAGTGACATAGAACCACTAATAAACAGCCCATCCCCTGGTCAGGCATGATGCTTTCCTACAGCCAGGGAAGGTTTTCCTGTGATCGAACACAGCTACCCATTTACAGCCAGGACCTTGGGTAAAGCAGAAAGGGTCCCATTGGGACGTGGGTGAGTGAGTTAGTGAGTGGGGTAGAGTGTTAGTGAATAGGTGACTGGCTGAGCGAGTGGGGACGTGGGTGAATGAGTTAGTGAGTGGGGTAGAGTGTTAGTGAATAGATGACCGGCTGAGCGAGTGGGGACGTGGGTAAGTGAGTTAGTGAGTGGGGTAGAGTGTTAGTGAGTAGATGACCAGCTGAGCGAGTGGGGACGTGGGTGAGTGAGTTAATGAGTGGGGTAATGCGTTAGAAAATAGATGACCGGCTGAGCGAATGGGGATGTGGGTTAGTGAGTTAACGAGAGGGATAGTGCGTTAGTGAGTGGGGTAGAGTGTTAGTGAGTGGGGTAGTGTGTTAGTGAGTGGGGTAGAGTGTTAG